ACATTTAAATAATTTTATATTAATTTATTAATAAAAATATGTGTTAAAAAAAATTCCAGTTTTTTTTGCACCACACTATAGTTCATCTCATACACTATTAATATTTCTTCTTCTAAAATCAAACTTCTATTATTCTTTTTTACAATTGGCAATCTTGTCTGAAATGTTTTTTTTATTTTTTATTTTTTTGTAGCAGATAGTTTCTCGGGTTTTTCTTTTCAAGTTTTTTTCAATAATATATCTACTTTTGATGGCAGGTCAATATGTATTGTCATATACTTCATACTTTATTGATTTTGTATATAATGTATTACATTTATTACATATAATTAATAAAGACTTGAGAAAGATCTCACTTAATATTTAAAAAAATAAAAAATAAAAAATTCTAACTTTATTTTATAGTATATTTAAATATTTTTCTTAATAAATTATTATTTTATATTTAAATACTTTCTTATACTTTACTTTTTTTGTTTTATACTTAAGTTGAGTTTTACTTAAATATTTAAATAATGCAACTTTATATATAAAATATTTTGTAATATATAACTGTTTCTTTTTTTAACTTAATTTAAATTTGATTAATCTAAAACAGTTTTAAAAAAAATTAGAAAAGTCAATTCTAAATATATAAAATAAACAATTGATTTTTACTAGTAATATTTAATTAGAAAAGTGATCATTTAAATATTAAATCAAATTATTTAATTAAAGTTTAAAGTAAAACCTTACTTTATTTATTGTATAACAAACTATATTTGAAAAAAAATATATATTAATTTTAATTATAACTTGAAAATCAACCTGTATAAAATAACTGTAATGTTTTTATGTAATTAAATAATTAATTATCTTTATATAGTTAAATACTTTAAGATATAATATAGGTTTTAAAATTTTTTTAATAAAAAAAATATATATATAATATTATTAAAATTATGATCTTGTAATTGCAATAGAAAATATAGTAAAAAAATAAAGTAATAGCTATTTGCCTTTTTAATATATATAGTATATTAGCAATATATTAGATTTTAATTATAATTATTTTTTTTTTTGCAAATAAGTATAAAATGTGAGACTTTATTTACTAAGTGATAGTACTGTCATTACATTAAGCATCCTTAAAAGTTAATGCTAGCCTATTGCTTTTTTTATCCTAACATATCTACTGCACCTCGTGGGTAGATCCACATGCCAGGAGGGAGGCATCAAGAAGGTGGAAATCCTGCTTCCAGTTTTAAACCACCTGATTATATGTTTCCAGTTTTGTAAAGATCTGATCGTAATTTAGCATACTGGTCTTTATTAGGTTTCTTTTCACTTCCTACCGTTTGTTCACCAATTCATAATACATGGTCTTATTACTTACACTTCCTAGTAAATGCTCCAAGAGTCTTTCATATAGTTAACATATAATACCAAATCTGGAGACCTATAGACCTAGTGGGTTGCAACTCCTAAATCCTCCAATGGACACTTCATAGGCTCTTGGTTGGCTTTAACTACCAAATCTAGGGGTACAAATACCAAACAGGACACAACTCTTGTAAGGTGCCTCCATGTATTGATGCCATACAATAATCCTCTTCAAAGTTTCTTAAATAGATTGATATACTTTTTGCTATGGAGTCTACCATGCCAGTTAGGGTTAATGGCCACAGTTCTATCCATATCGGTGGCCTGGTAACCGATATGGTATGATCCTCTTCTGCTAATCTTTTGAAGGGAGGAAGCTGATTATGGTTTTCGGGTTTGTGGTAGAGAGTAATGTGTATCTACCAACTGAAACATCTGAGAATAGGTTTTCACTAGACAAGCCTACTATCTTAGGTAGGGAGAAACCATTCCCAGTCTGGTTAAGAATGGTAGAATAGTATAATGTGATGAGATTTAAAATGAGTGGTTCTAGGGAGAAAAAATCCTAGGAAGGGAGAAAAACCTACCTAGAGGAAAGGGGTAAGGGGAGTTAAGGGAGGGGATAGACGAGTAGGTAAACAAAGAAATTTAATTGCACTCAGGCTTGTGATTATCAGACGTACACAGAGCCTTGCAAGAAAAAGATTGATTGCCCCAGGTCTTTCTAGTTCTTGTCTCAGACTACTGACATGTGCAGGCTTGGTCTGTTCACGCTTCCCTAAGCAAGAGTGCTTCTTTTAGATGTTGAACTCCAATAGTTAGAAAAGTCTTGTGTGGTATCAGCACAGCTCAGACTTGAGTTTTATCTTATGTAAAAGAAGAGAAGTGGGAAAGGGAGAAAATTTCCAAAAAAGGAAGTTTTTTGACAAAGTAGTGGTGAGTAGGAAAGAGTTTTTTTAATTAAAAAAATAATTATAAAATTAATAAATTAATAAAATATATAAAAATATTAATTTAAATAAATATAATCTAATATTAAATTAATAATAGTTAATAATAATTTTAATTTATTAATATAAAGATTTATTATTATTAAATTTTAAAAAACTTTATTTATTTATTTTTAATTAAAAAATAGGAAAAAAAATTTTTTTTTACAAAAGATATCTATTAAAAAAATAATAAAAATAAGCTATATACAATTAAATCTTGATATATCAAATTTTATTAAATCAAAGTACCAATTAAATCTATTGTAAATAATCTTGTTAAATTGAATTTACTAAGTAAATTAATAATTCTAACTATTTTATTTAATGAGATTTGAAATACTAGTAAAAATAATAATGGAATATATTTCACCTATTAAATTTAATATAAATTTGAGAATCAAATACAGAATTAAAAATAATCATTAGAATCCTTAATTTGAATGTATATTATTATTTCATTATTTGCTATTTGATATTAATTATTATTTCATAATTTAATAAACTTATTGAATTTATAAATATTTAACTATACTTTTATTATGCAAACCTTTAATTTAATTTAATTTTTATTAGAGCAATATTTGTTCCGCGTCGATCAATATAGTCTATCACGTGACAGAAATATAATTCGGAAATTTTACTCTCGAGTGACCTTATAAACAACACAATGATGTACAGAATGGGTTACACGAAATGGGGAGCGAATCTGTCGTTTTGCCAGCCTTAGAAGTTCGAAATGCTGATAAACTTATAATTTATAGTGGAAACTTGATGAAACAAGCGAACATCAATTCTATTATAGCATCAGACAAAATAAAGGATCATGAAGTATAACATAGTTATTATGTTTGTTGCTCTGGCGGTGTTATTTTTAACGTTAATATGATTCTTAGCTGATAAGCTCGCTTGAGGAAGTTCTGTCTGCAAATCCATCACAAGTATTTGACCACACTCATGGTGTGATAGAAATATCAGATTCGTCTAAACATTCACCTAAACCTTCTGACGAAAGAGACGACCACGAAATTACAGGTTAGTCTTGATTTAATTTTGTCTATTTATAAATTTTCATTCTAAATATTATTTAAATTTACAATCAAAATTGTAGTAAAACTATTTTATCTATCACAATTGTTCACATCATCTTATATTACCCAATCGCTTTATTATTTGTTTCGATTGCTTGGTATTGAGTCAGTAGATAATTTTATTGT